GAACGATGTAACTTAGATATGCGTTTCTCGTTAATGTGGCCCAAACGACAATGCCAAAGGTACGCGAGATTCAAACTGTTAGGTTTGTTTCTCTTAACATCTACGTTATATACTGCGGTATCCATGTCGAGGACATAGAGACCGTTGGTCATTTTTGCAGTTGCATAAAATATTTCATTTCTAAAGACAGAAAGAGTTTTGTCTTTTACAACGAACGAAAATCCTGCTTTGTCAAGGCAGGATACAGAAATGATGTTTCTGCTCATACTGGGTACAAACAGACAATTATTTAACTGCAATACAAGACCACTAGGTAGAGATAAACTATAGGTTCCGACGGCTAATGCATTTACGAGTGCGCCATTGCCGACTTTTAGTTGTATCTCTCCCTCCGTCAATTGTCTACGTTCATGCAGATCCTGCATAGAAGTACAGATGTGAGAACCACATCCAGTATCCATCATCCAAGAGGTGATATCAGACATATTGACTTCAATAACGAAGATACCTGAGGTTTGAGGTTTCTTTCCCTCTTTCCTCTCTGCCAGTAATTTTGCGCAGTTGCGCCTCCAGTGGCCCTTTTTGCCACAATAATAGCATACAGCAGACTTTTTCTTAGCTCCTTCTTTGGGTTTCAAGGAAGAGGAGTTGGACGCTGGCTTGGGTTTCTTAGAACCCTTGCGCTTGGTCCCGGCCGGCGAACGTGGCCCACTCTTCTTCGCAATAGTACTGCCCTCTACCATCAGGATAGACTTACCCTTGCCCATCCCTAGACTCTCCTCAGGAGTTGTGAGGAATTTCAGTAGCTCAGGCATAGTCATCTCTAGTTTGTTCATGTAGAAGTTCACTACAGTTTGACTATACTCAGCTGGTAATGATCCCAAGATAAGATAAGTTGCCAACATAGGGTGCAATGGGGCGTCTAGTTTTTCAAGAGTTTCGATCTGACCGATCATCTTGAGAACGTGGGGACCAACTGGGTTACCCGTTGCCAGCTTACTGGAAAACAGAGTCGTAGAGATTTTGAAACGCTTATGTCTAGCCTGGCCTTGGTATAGACCTTTTAAGCGAGTCATCATAGGATGAGCTTCCATGTACTTATGGAGCCTTTGGAGCTCCGGAGTCATGGTGGCTAGCATGAGACATCTCACATCACGTGCGTCATCTTCATACTTCTTGTACGAAGTAATTTCTGCAGCACGGGCGTTCGCTTCAGGAGCTTTGGGAGGCTCAGAGGTAAGGATGTAGAGCTTTTTCTCGCATTCGAGAACAATCTTAAGATTCATCTCCCAATCAAGAAAGTTGGTTCCAGATAATTTTTCCTTTTCTAGAACATATCGCAGGTTGAAAGGGTTGTTGTTGTTTGCCATCTACAGAAAATTTTGCAAACTAGGTTATCTATCATGTTTAATAATTAATTAGGCCTTTAATTAATTATCTCCCACTATTTTTAACAAATCAATAACCCTCGATATTGATTCGGAGCTTTCCGGCAAAACCTCTAGTGGGCCAAGATCCATATTTCATTATCTTGCGTTCCGCTTGGGCGTTACTCCACAAGACAACTATTTAGGTAGGAACATAGTTCCAACTGATGAGCCGGGCTCTCAGCTCTTTGTCTGGTGTTGGGCGAACAATATTACTACAACCGGACCAGGACACCTTTTCACCGTACTTGTAATTGGCTGAGGCACGCCTTACAAGCAGACTACTTTGGTTAGGAATAGAGTTCCAATTAAATCATAAAGATCCAACTCCTGGCTGGATGAGTGAGTAAAATCATCCGACTTGTCATTGATGACCCCAACTTACTGCCTCTGAGTCGTCCATCCATTTGACCGAGACTCAGTTAAGTCTAACCCAACGTGCGACAATGACCACGCTATGGCGGTTCCCGTAACCAGCTTAACATACACCGTACTATGCTCTGCTGAGGCTGAGTACATGACAGTGCACATTAGCCGGATAGGTGCCGGGCGTCAGAAGGCGACAGACTTAATATTCGTGAGGGATTTATAATTTCGATCACACCTATCGACATGGCCGCGCACATGTCCATTACTAGCGTTCAACATACATTCAACATGCATTCACAAAACGTAGTAAATAAACGTGTAATGATTGTGGCCCCTAAAAGAAAAATAAAACGATAGCTCACACTGGCTTCCGGTCACTTGGACTTCGGGCTATCTCCATTCTTTTAGATTTCTTCAAACGGTCTTCAAATCTTTTCGTCTTCTAACCACCACGTAATAAAAGAATCCTCGGTTGAGGTAAGGGAGAGAAATAGATTTACAACTAGAGTTTATGAGATAAGGCACGACACGCAGGCCGTATTATAATCAAATAAACTATAGCCACAATCATCCACCATGCATATCATACATCCACACAAGCAATAGAGATATACATACACCGGGTGAACCGCGCTCACCCCAGACAGTTCTAGAAAAATACTACGGCAGTAAATATTTTCTAAAACTCATAAAATTAAATTAGATGTCCAAATAAATC